TTGTTTTTTATTGGGCATGCTGTATTTTTATTTATGATTGTGAACCATGTTTATGGGCCTGTGAGGGGCTAAAAGGCAAGACAGAAATGTTTTAAATAAAGGGGGTTAAGGAAAACTATCTGCTTGATTCTCAAGCAGGCAGAGTAGAAATTACTGCACCAGACAGATCAATTATTATTGTTTATTAAATTTGTATATCTCTTGACATTCTATATGTAGATTATAAGCATCTTGCAATATGGATCTACCTTTTTTATTCTTATGTTACAAATGCAATATGTGCTGTTGGTCATGTTTAAACAGAGGCGTGGTCTCTGCAATGGATGCATGAACAGCAAGGATGACCAGTGTAATGGCCAATGGTTAGCATTGATAGGTGCTGTTGTCGAACATTCATCTAAAAGGCCACAGGTTTCCCATTTTTGGTTTACAGGGATCCATCGCTTCAATGGCTTTTCACATGAGATGGAAGTTCAATATTAGGCTGGCAGACCTGTTTGCATATACAGTGGTACCTTGGTACTCAAACGCCTTGGTTCGCAAATGCCGAAAACCCAGAAGTAAGTGTTCTGGTTTTCAAACGTTTTGCAGAAGCTGAACGTTGGATGCGGTTGTCAGCTATTGTATCCGGGGCACCTGCACCAATCAGAAGCTGCGGCTTGGTTTTCGAACATTTCAGAAGTCAAACAGACTTCCGGAATGGATTAAGTTTGGTGCTTTTGTTTTTGCTATTTATTTTGCATTTTTGTTTGGAAGGCTTTTTCAGTTAATTTGCTTTTGTGACTGTGTGGAACCCAGTTCAGCTACTGATTGATTGATTGAATGATTGTGTGACTGCGGAAATGGATAAAAGCCCCCCATCCGAACAATGACTATTATCAGTGCAGGTAAGAAAAAAACTTAATTTTACTTTTTATCATCTACAATACTGTCTTATTTATTTAATAGTACAGTACATTATTGCTTTCATTTTATGGATTAATGGTCTTGTTAGATAGTAAAATTTGTGTTAAATTGCTGTTTTAGGGGTTGTTTTTAAAAGTCTGGAAGGATTAATCCATTTTGCATTGCTTTCTATGGGAAAACGTGCCTTGGTTCTGGAACGCTTTGGTTTTGGAATGGACTTCCGGAACGGATTAAGTTTGAGAACCAAGGTACCACTGTATTGCAAATACATACATTGATATGAGTCTGAGAGACATAAATTACACTACCAGCTTCACAGTATGTTCTCTTACCTGCTAGATATTACGCGAGATGAGCACCACACTCCATAGTCGCCTTTGACTGGACTTAACTGTCCAGGTGTCCTTTGCCTATCTTTTTTTAACCTATTGTACACAACACTTCTCAAAACCCAGATTAACTAGGTCTTTACAGCACAGACTTCTCCACCCAAGTAAGTCTGTCCAATTCAACAAGCTCCCAACAAGCTCCATCATCAAATTGGTCATCAGAATGTATTTGTATCTAGATAGATAAAGGTAAAGGGACCCCTGACCATTAGGTCCAGTCGTGGCTGACTCTGGGGTTGCGGCACTCATCTCGCTTTACTGAGCGAGGGAGCCGGCGTATAGCTTCTGGGTCATGTGGCCAGCATGACTAAGCCGCTTCCGGCAAACCAGAGCAGCGCAAGGAAACGCCGTTTCCCTTCCCGCCGGAGCAGTACCTATTTATCTACTTGCACTGGTGTGCTTTCGAACTGCTAGGTTGGCAGGAGCAGGGACTGAGCAACGGAGCTCAACCCACTGCGGGGATTTGATCCGCCGACCTTCTGATCAGCAAGTCCTAGGCTCTGTGGTTTAACGCACAGTGCCACCTGTGTCCCAGATAGATAGATATCTAGTACCAATTCCTTTACTCTGATGACAATAAAGCAGAGCAGCATTTTGAGTACAGAGAAGGCTTTCATAAAAACATGAAACAGAAATGAACTTGCACAACAACTTCAAAAGCCCATCGAAAAAATATGGGAGAGAGAGGAAATCCCAGCACTTCAGGGATGCCAAAAGTTCAATCTCTTTTTTAAAAAAGGTGACAGAACGGGTTGTGGAAACTATCAAGGCATCTCTTTATTAGCTGCCTTCGACAAAATTCTTGCAAGGATCTTAGCAAACAATCTCTTAATAATATCCGAGCATCCCTTCCTGAATCCCAAAATGGTTTTAGACCCGCTAGGACAGGCATGTCCAAAGTCTTTTTTAAAATAAAAGTTATTTTTAACATCCTTTTCAATTCATTGTATATTATTTCCCAGTAACCTTACTGCAGGACCGCCACATATGATAAAAAGAACCTTCTTTCTAGTTATATTTCCAACACTTGTTCGATTTAGATTTACAGTGGTACCTCTACTTACATTCACCTCCGGTTACGTATCCTTTGGGATACGTGCGCAGCAAACTTGGAAGTATTTTTCCGGGTTTCACCCCGTGCGTATGCGCAGAAGCGCTAAAATGCACCGTGCGCATGTGCAGAAGCAGCACCTCCAGATACACACACCTCAGGATCCGACCTGAGCTCCGGGACGGATCCCGTGCGCAACCTGAGATACCACTGTATACATTTTTGCCAGTTTACTTGGTGTTAGATACCAACGATGTATCATTTTCATATTATTTTCTCTTAGACCATAACATGCTGTAAATTTTATATCCCACAATCATTCCCATGCTTCCATACCTACTGTATATTATGACCAATATTTATTGCCTGGTGCAGGGGTCTGCAACCCGCGGCTCCGGAGCCGCATGTGGCTCTTTTACACCTTTGCCGCGGCTCCGGGGCGGATACTAGCGAGGGGAGGAGGCGCATTGTGCGCCCCGACACTCCCCACTGTGGCGGGCGCTATACTGGCTGTGACGTCGCATGGGGGCAGTGCGTGCGTCAGTCACGCACCATCCCAACATCACCTTCCCGCCCACCCGCCCACCCGCTACATTGTAAGGGGCATGTACGCTGGTCACTGCATTGAAAGGGGGCATGTACGCTGGTCACTGTTTTGAAGGGGAGTGAAGAACACACACACAAAAAAAGGTAACTTGTTAATTTAACATTTATTTCTATGAGGAGGAGTAATTCTGAGGGGTCAAACAAAGAAATAATAAAAAAGGGACAAAAAGGTTATTTTTATAATGACGAGTTTTGCGGCTCCCAGTTTTTTTTCCTTCGGAAACGGGTCCAAGTGGCTCTTTTTGTCTTAAAGGTTGCAGACCCCTGGCCTGGTGCATCAGTGAGTGTATCATCATCCTCTGTCTGGCTCTGTCTAGCAGATTCGGAATGAAATGTCTCAACATCAGTTGTTTGAAATTACTTTCTTTTGACCCCCAAGTGCTCAGGGGGGGGGAACCCTATCAAAACCTTTCTACAATGTCTACACTGAGTTACGTATTTTTATTTATTTACTTGATTGTGGGGGCAGCTGCCCCCTCCCTGGCTACGCCCGTGCATAGCTGTCAACCGTCCCTTATTTGGCGGGAAATTCCCTTATCCCAGCGCCGTGTCCCGCTGCTGTCCCTTATTGATGATGTCCCTTAAATTTCCTGGGTTTCATGCTCGCCCGGCTCGGGAGGGAAGCAGAGGCTCAGGGTCCTCTGCTGTGAGAGAGAGAGAGAGCGCGCATGGGCTGCCGCTTCTCCGTCTCTCCCTTTTCCCCCTCAGGGGCGCGTCGTGAGGAGACGGGTGGCAGCGAGACTTCCGCCACGCTGCCAGGGGAAGCCGGAGGAAGAGGAGGGGATGGGGAGGGACGCAGGAGGGTGGCGCTTCAGCGGCCGCAGCGCCGCCGCAACCGCGTTATGCTGGGCTGGCAGGCGGTGTGGGCGAGAGTCCCTCTCCCTCCCTCCCTCTCTCAGGTGGGGAAGGGCCGATGGAACTCCTCGCTCCAAGATGACGGCAGCCCCGACATGCTGCTTAGCATCCCCTCCAGCCAGTGCAGCATCTTAATGTAGTGATTTCCCCCTCTGCACCCCTTTCAAAACTCTATTTTCATAAATCATTTGTCCATCCATAGTTCAAATTTTTACTACAAGTTTTCTGTCAATCCTACCAATGTATGTAACTCTTTACAATAGCTTTTCAACTAAATTATAAACTTTCCCCATTCTTTATTAAAGAGATCCTCTTCCTGGTTTCTAATTCTGCCTGTAAGCTATTCCATCTCGACGTCGTTCATCAGTTTTGTCTGCCCCTCTTCTTTGGCGGGAGTTGTAGACCCTTAGGATCATCTAGTCCAACCCCCTGCAAAACACAGTCAGTCGCAGCAAAAGCAGCATGGCTCCATCAGTGCCGGATTTCTGTATAAGCTAAGCAAAATCCCTTATTTTGGTTGCTGATCCCTTATTTTCGAGGCTGCTGCTGTTGTTGTTTAGTCGTGTCCGACTTTTCGTGACCCCATGGACCAGAGCACACCAGGCACTCCTGTCTTCCACTGCCTCCCGCAGTTTGGTCAAACTCATGTTGGTAGCTTCGAGAACACTATCCAACCATCTCGTCCTCTGTCATCCTCTTCTCCTTGTGCCCTCCATCTTGCCCAACATCAGAGTCTTTTCCAGGGAGTCTTCTCTTCTCATGAGGTGGCCAAAGTATTGGAGCGTCAGCTTCAGGATCTGACCTTCCAGTGAGCACTCAGGGCTGATTTCCTTCAGAATGGAGAGGTTTGATCTTCTTGCAGTCCATGGGACTCTCAAGAGTCTCCTCCAGCACCATAATTCAAAAGCACCCATTCTTCGGCGATCAGCCTTCTTTATGGTCCAGCTTTCACTTCCATACATCACTACTGGGAAAACCATAGCTTTTACTGTACGGACCTTTGTTGGCAAGATGATGTCTCTGCTTATTAAGATGCTGCCTAGGTTTGTCATTGCTTTTCTCCCAAGAAACAGGCGTCTTTTAATTCGAGGCTGCTGGTCCCTTATTTTCAAATCTGTAAGTTGACAGCTATGCCTGCCCTATCATGGAAGTGAGTTTCCCGGAGACTGCCCTGTGCACACGTGACGAGCCTGAGCCCCGAGGCTCCTTAGAAACAACATCGCCAAAGATACACGCGTGTGCGTGAACGTGGCTGGTCTGCAAAGTCATTGGCGACCCCCTTCCTCCAAACCAGGCTCCCCCCCTCTCCTCCCGCCTTTGCTGCAGCCGATCTCTCTCCTCCAGGACCCCGGCGACCATGTGATCGCCACGATAGAGATCCCGAGGAAATGCTCTCTTCGTGCGCCTTCCTTCCTTGGAAGATCTCTATGATCGGCGCGGCCGTGCGCGCCGGAGCCGGGGGAGTGGCTCCGATCCCGGGGTGTTTCCAGCAGCCTCCGGGCTCGGCTCGGTGGCGGCGGAGAGGCGCTTTCTCGCCAGAGACCGGGATGCCGTCATAAGGTAACGAAACAAAAGATCGGGAAACTCATGTTTGGCGCTGGTGTTTTTGTGCACTTTCTTAGCTCTGCTAGCAAGCGGGGCCGGGGGGGGGGGGCGCGCGCCCTGCACGCTGCAAGCCGCTTCGCTTTTGCAGATCTTCAGGGTCGGCTGCATGCATGGTTTTTCCTCGGGATGTGTTTTTCTGCATGCATAGTTTTTCTTGGTGTGTGTTTTTCTGCATGCATAGCTTTTCCCGGGGCGTGTTTTTCTGCATGCATAGTTGTTGTTTTCTCGGGATGTGTTTTCCCTGCCCGTGCACACACTTCTTCTCTTGGAGCGAGTCCCTTCGGGACAGCAAACATGGAGCGGGTTGCACAACGCGCTCACAAAATGCCATCTGTGGATGTTGTCCGGATGTTCTTCTGATTTCTGGATGGTTTTTGGTGATATTTTTGGAGGGGAGGAGGAAGGCGGGATTTCCCCCCTCCACACAATGGCTTTAGACTTGTTGGCTTCGCTCTTTGTGCTCAGAGCATCAATCCCTATGTTTGAAAACCCGGTGGGCTCCCCACTTTTTTGGGGGGGCATTAGCAATGTATATGCACAAGTGGTAGATCTGTGCATAGGATGTGCTTTGCAAGACGCACATAGGATGCGCTTGATTAGTATTTATTATTATTATTAATAGCACAGGAGATAATAGAAATGCAATTTGCGAGCAGATCTTAGGAACCTAGGTGAAATATACTCTGAGTCTAGTGTGAATTTCATGCTCTTTATTTAGCTCATAGTAGCAATGAATGAAACTTTCCCTAAAAGGTCTAGCTATATATACATTATTTACACAAAACAAAAAAAATTCCTTCCAGTAGCACCTTAAAGACCAACTAAGTTACGGTAGTTCTTGGTATGAGCTTTCGTGTGCATGCACACTTCTTCAGATACACGCATTATTTACACAATGGGCCCCGCATGATTGGCTAATTCCGAGCTGCTCCTGTAGGCCAATCAGGTTGCAGATCCACCTCCTCCAGAAGCCTGATTGGCTGTTCCTGCAGGCCAATCGGGTCGCTGATTCACTTTCACCTGGAGCTGGATTGGGTGGCTCCTGCGGACCAATCAGACTGCTGCATTCTGGATCCTATTGTTCTAGGATTCAACTCAGTACATAACACTAGGAAAATGCTTTATAGTAAACCAGACCAGTGGCCCATCTAACTACAAGCTTGGCTGCTGTCCCCCAGCCCTGCCTGGAGATAACAAGGGCTGAACTTAGGACCTTGGGACCTTCTGCTCTAGCACTGAGCTGCCACCCTTTCTTAAAATCTTACGGGAGTTCACCTGCCTTGGAAGAAGTTTGGGTGCTTAACAGTTCCCCTACAACAGGTAGATTATGATCCGGTGGTACATCTCTGGGCGTCTTTGGTAGATTGCGGTAGACCCTGCTCCCCGAAAAACCTTTGGCTCTCCCCAGATAAGCTCAGCAACTTTGCTTCACCTACAGTGAGTACACTGTACACCTACAGTGGTACAACGGGATACATACGCTTCAGGCTACATACGTTTCAGGTTACACACTCCACTAACCCAGAAATAGTGCTTCAGGTTAAGAACTTTGCTTCAGGATAAGAACAGAAATCGGGCTCTGGCGGCGCAGCGGCAGCAGGAGGCCCCATTGGTGGTGCTTCAGGTTAAGAACAGCTTCAGGTTAAGAACAGACCTCTGGAATGAATTAAGTACTTAACCCGAGGTACCACTGTAGATCACTGTCTCTTGGGAGTTGGACGTGCCTGCCCTACAGGAAAGGAGCAAGCTAGAGAGAGACCCCGATGTTAGGGAAGTTGATACGAGTTTTAGTTTGCATTCGTAAAACACTTGCTTTTAACCCTTAGGGGCTCATGCAACTGTGTCGCCTTTGCTTTCCTCTTAGGCTTAATTAGGCATCTTGTTATACTTTCAGTTCAGGATAATGAAAGGGTCTGTTTTATTTTTGCACACAGTGTGTATCCAGCATTCGAAATTTGCCACGCACATTTTGCACCTGCCTATCGGCCAAGTGAAGATGCCCAGGTGTCAGGATGGTACCTGATGTCTCCACCATCTGGATCTGCATGCCTTCAAGATCCTTGGATTTTTTTCTTTTTTAAGTGGCTACATACAAATTCAATAAAACAGAGACTACAGCACAAAGCAAGACATAGTGTCGCAATAGCATTTCTGAAGCAGCTCCAAAAACCAGCCACAATGTGTTGATTAAAAACCGGAGGAAACAAAATAGTTTTTCAACTACCTGCCTATATTATACGAAGCAGGTGCCAAATGTCATTTTACATGGATCCTTAGACTCTTTTCACACACTAGCAACACACCCTGCAGAATTCTAACCATTACAGTGGTACCTCTAGTTACAAACGCCTCAGGTTACAAATGCTTCGGGTTACAAATTCCGCTAACCCAGAAGTAGTTGCTCCAGGTTGCGAACTTTGCCCCAGGATGAGAACGGAAATTGTGCGCCAGCGGTGTGGCGGCAGCAGGAGGCCCCATCAGTGAAAGCGCACCTCAGGTTAAGAACGGTTTCGGGTTAAGAATGGACCTCCAGAACAAATTAAGTTCGTAACCCGAGGTACCACTGTATATTTTATCTGCACAATCAGAATGAATTTCAAGGAACCAAAAAGTCGTATTGAAAAAAGCAGCTTTTGAACCAGTCTGGGCCCAAAATGGCAACTGGACATTCTGTTTTGGCGACTGCAATTCTGATTTAAGGACCCATTTGGTGCCCAGTTTATATATCTGAGTTTCTAGCACTAATACAGTGGTACCTCGGGTTACATGCGCTTCAGGTTACATACTCTGCTAGCCCATAAATAGTGCTTCAGGTTAAGAACTTTGCTTCAGGATGAGAACAGAAATCGTGCTCCGGCGGCGCGGCGGCAGCAGGAGGCCCCATTGGCTAAAGTGGTGCTTCAGGTTAAGAACAGTTTCAGGTTAAGTACAGACCTCCGGAACAAATTAAGTACTTAACCTGAGGTACCACTGTATCTGGAGGGTGAAGTGGGACATCTACTTTGCCTTAATGGTGTTGTATGTGGATCCTGGGATCTATTGAGCCATGGGGTGTGTTTGAAATGCGGATACCCCACAAGCCACCACTTTGATTAAAGTGGGACTAATAGCTGCTTTCAGGAGATGGGGGCGACTTCAGTCTAAAAAGCAACTGTGGGGGGAGTTAACGCCTCCTTCCCCAGCACCACCTGCTCCGAGCCAATTTGGCAGCTTTGAGCTTTTTATTTTTTATGTAAAGACATTTAGATGTTCAACAGTAGATCTCCTGCGTCATGTGCGGTTTGGCTCCGAATGTGCATGTCAGTGGTGGCCTTGAGGAACTGCTTTTAGCAGAGCCGAGAAACTACAGTATAGCAATTTACCTCCAGGTTTTAAAAAAATAACAATTTCCCTCCAGTGAAGCTAGTGATTCATGTTCTTTTATTAAGGGACATTCTGAGCCCCCATAGAGTGGCAAAAACAAGAAGGGGGGGGAAGGATTCCACTTTATAGGGTGGGCGGTGTGAGAGTTCCCCCCTGAAAAAATGAAAATGAAGGCTAATGGTCATTGAGATCAGAAGGTCATTGTAAAAGAAAGTACTTGGTAAAATTCGTTTGGCAATAATGGAAGAGAACGTACACAACAAGCTGTCAATAGGTTAGAAACTTGGATAGATAATCTAGGCTCCGAATGGCTCCTTAAACCGTGGTTACAGTCACCAAAATGGAATATCTAGTTGCCATTTTTGGGCAAGACAGCTCAAATCACGGGCTCACTGTGATTGATTATCAGTTCAACACCTGGCTAGTTCAAATGACTTCCCGCCCTGCCCCCCTTTTCTATGGTTTCCATATTTACCCTTTAAAGCTGCAAATTTCACGTATAATATTCATTACAGCCATTTTAACCTATTTATCTTAATACAGTGGAACCTCGGTTTCCGAGTGTCTCAGAAGCCGAATGATTTGGAAGCCAAACGCCGAAAACCTGGAAGTAATTGCTTCCGTTTTCAAACGCGCCTCGGAAGTTGAATGGCTTCCGCTGTGTGTTTTTCCATTTTTCAATGGATTTTGCCACCCATTGATCCTCAGTTTTCGAATGTTTCGGAAGTTGAAAGGTCTTCCGGAACGGATTACGTTCGAAAACCGAGGTTCCACTGTAATTAATACTGATGCTTGTATTTCAAATCGTGCTCACGTTTTCATCTCGCTATAATAGTTCTTTAAATACGCGATAAAAAGTTTCCAGTTCTCAATTATCTTTTTTTGTCCATTTTGGCCTCTATTCATTACTGTTAATCTCGCCAGTTCCTCCTATTCCATCCTTTTCAAAAGCCATTTACAGTTCTTTGATTCTCTGGTCTCCATCCCTCATACAACCTTTGAAAGGAAGGGGCGGAAAGAGGTGAGCATCTCCTCTGAAGTCGAGAGAGTAATGAGTCTTTGTGCCTTGCCGTTCATAGGTGACGATGGAAATCAGTGGCTTGCCACTGGAGTTGTGGCGCCTGATATTGTCCTACTTGCGCCTTCCTGACCTTGGCCGCTGCAGCTTGGTGTGCAGAGCGTGGTACGAGCTCATCCTCAGCCTGGACAACACCCGGTGGAGACAGCTTTGCCTGGGCTGCATCGAGTGCCGGCACCCAAACTGGCCCAACCAGCCCGACGTGGAGCCCTGGTCGTGGAGGGAAGCCTTCAAGCAGCATTACCTGGCTTCGAAAACCTGGACCAAGAACAGCCAGGACCTCGAATCCTCCAACTGCTTCTACCTGTTCAGAAGGAAGAAGGACCGGCGCGTCCTTTGCGTGGGTCCCGGCTGCGAGTTCGAAAACCTCCGGAGCGCCTTGGTTTCGGCGTGTGCTTATGACCGGATCGTCCTGTTGCCCGGAGTGTATGAAGAGCAGGGAGAAGTCTTGCTTAAAGTCCCTGTGGAAATTATAGGGAGGGGCAAACTCGGAGACGTGGCTCTCCTGGTGAGCTTCGACCAGCACTGTCCAACCGTGAGGTTATGCAATTTGGTCTTCATGCCAGCCTGGTTCACTCCCATCATATATAAGGTGAGTGTGAATGGGTCAGTAAGGCTCTCCAGATATTGTTGGACTACAATGCCCATCATCCTGATGACTGGGGCTGATGGGACTTGGAGTCCAACATCTGGAGCTACCACCATCTTGTCTACCACTTACCGAATTTTTCGCTCTATAGGACGCACTTTTTCCCCTCCAAAAATTAAGGGGAAATGTGTGTGTGTCCTATGGAGCGAATGCAGGCTCCTTGGCTTCAGCGATAGCAACGCGAAGCCTCCGAAGTGCAGAGGGAGCGCTCCCTCCGCGCTCCGGAGGCTATGCGTTGCTTTCGCTGAAGCCTGGCGAGCGAGAGGGGTCGGTGCGCACCGACCCCTCTTGATCCCTAGCCTTCAGGGATAGCCGCCTGAAGCCTTTGGAGCGCAGCGGGACCTCGTGCTGCACTCCAAAGGCTTTGGGTTCCTTTTGCTGAAGCCGGGAGAGCAAGACTCTCCTGGCTTCAGCAGAGAGGGAGAGCTGCGCAGCGTCCTTTCAGCCAAGCGGGAGGAGAAATGGAAGGGGCTCCGTTTCTCCTGCCGCTTCGCTGATGGGGCGCTGAGCAGAGAGGGGGAGATTTTTTTTTCTTGTTCTCCCCCTCTAAAACAAGGTGCGTCCTATGGTCGGGTGCGTCCTATAGAGCGAAAAATACGGTACCTTTGTGGATCAAGCAGGGAACTCTGGGCACCACTAAGAATAACAGAATAGGCAATGGATGGATCTGAACCAAGTGACGCAGTCCATTGAAGGTTTTCCTGCTCAGGTTGTAGCACATTGAACAAGAGCTTTGCGAGAGCATGATGGTTTCTGTTTCAGGCATGAAAATGTCAGATCGGTCCTGCAGCAAGGGTAGGCTGGGATCATGCCTCAGTCATGCTCCCCCCAGGACAGGTAGAAGACCAAGAGTAAACTGGGAGGTCCTGTGCTTACGACTATTGCTTTTAAAAATGTGTTTTTATTAAAAGGTTTTCTTGGGTAACAAAGGTTCACACAGGTTCTCAGTTTTCAGATCATAGAGTCCTTTGTACAGAGACATTACTGTTGTAGGCAGTATGGGGTTGGGGGGTGAGAGAAGTGGGGGGAGAGAGGAGGGAAAAGAAGTGTGGGGGGGAGACAGTAAAGATCCATTCTTTATTAACAAATTCGTTTATTTGGTTTTTCAAATTAGAGTTTTGCAGTCACATATCCAACATACAACATAAAAACAGGATTCCAAAGAATTTCCCGGACTTCCCTCCTCCCCGGTCCTATTAACCATTTCTTCCTGCATCTTTTATAATAATCCCAAATCTTTTACATCTCCCATTATATCCAAAATTCACCATTAAACTACAAGTGTTATTCCAATCCTACTAACGACTTTGTTTACAATGGATTTTAAGGTAAATTATAAATTTCCCCACGTTTCATTCTTTTACATAGTGTACGAGCAGAAGTTTTGTTTTGGCATCACTTGAGTAGGTATCTTTATTTGCTGGCGGTGCAAGAGATCAGGAATCCCAGGGCATGGCTGGTTGTAGCCGGTGGGTTGCAGTGTGTTTTGTTTGTTTGTGTGTGATGGGAATGGAACCGTATCAAATTAGCCATATCGATTTGTGTGCTGTTGGGGGATCGGTCATTGTCTCGTTGGCCTACATATGTAATAAAGGGGAGCCACACCAGGGTGAAGGTATCTTCCTTCGTTTGTCCCCATTCTCGCTTCCATTGGTTAGCCACCTTTCTAGTAGGGCAGCTTCCCATGCAGTCTCCCTTGGGTTCGTTTGGTAATCTTCTTGGTGTCTGTTGTGAAATTGTTTTGTGACTGTGAAATAGTAGTACAGTCGTACCTCAGGTTAAGTACTGAATTCGTTCCGGAGGTCCGTACTTAACCTGAAACTGTTCTTAACCGGAAGCACCACTTTAGCTAATGGGGCCTCCTCCTGCTGCTGCTGCCGTGCCGCCGGAGCACGATTTCTGTTCTTATCCTGAAGCAAAGTTCTTAACCTGAAGCACTATTTCTGGGTTAGCGGAGTCGGTAACCTGAAGCGTATGTAACCTGAGGTACCACTGCACAGTCATACCTCAGGTTACAGACACTTCAGGTTGCGTGTTTTTGGGATACGGACGTGCCAAAACCCGGAAGTACCGGAATGGGTTACTTCCAGGTTTCGGGACTCACAGATGCACAGAAGCACTAAATCGCGCTTTGCACATGCACAGAAGTGCCAAATTGCAAGCTGCGCGTGCGCAGACACGGCGCTGCGGGTTGCGAACGTGCCTCCCGCATAGATCACGTTCACAACCCGAGTGTCCACTGTAGTATTAATAATTATGATAATAATAATAATTCTATGTCACCTATCTGACAGGGTTGCCCCAGCCACTTGGGCGGCTTCCAACAAAATATGAAAAACACAATAAAACATCAGCCGTTAAAAACTTCCCTGAACATATATTGATCCGGTGTCATTCTTTTTCTCTAGACAAACTCGGGCCATGTCCAGTTTGACAACTGCAACTTTGAGAACGGACAGCTTCAGATCCACGCCCCGGGCACTTGCCAAGTTAAATTCTGCACTTTCAACCAGTCCACCATCAATTTCCACAGCGTCGCCATCTGCCTGCTGGAAAACTGTGAGTTTGTGGGCAGTGAAAACGCCTCGGTGACTGTGGATGGCTCCCCATCTGTGGACAGGAACTGGGCCTGTAAGCACTTGAGCACCTTGGCCAAATCCTGCTCCGCTTCGCTACAGACGCCGGAGCCACAGACACATTGCAGCGCATCGAAGCTGGAGAGCCGGGGGCCTCTGCTGACAAGCGTACGGACCTGTGAAATTGTGGTGGGTGGGGACCCTGGCAATGCGCTGCCTGCTTCGCACCCCCCAGCAATGCCGAAGAAAGGGTGCGAGAAAGGGAGCGATGTCGCTGGGCATCTCCAGGGGGCCAACAAGGAAGAGGCTGCGACAATGGAGACGGATTCTAGCGACAGCGAGCTGAGCATGAGTAGCGAGAACGAGGAGGACGATGAGTCGATGTGCCGGCTGCCTTACCAGGCGCATAGCCTGAGCCACATGCTGGCCAAGGTGATTGACGGCAGGCCGCAGGCTGACGGATTGGCGGCGCTTCCGAGCGACTACGAGCTGAAAACTCTGCAGCAGGAGCTTCAGAAAGACAAGGAGGCGCAGTCTCTTGCCAACGCCATGCAAGGATGCCTCGTTCGGAAGTGTCTCTTCAGGGATGGCAAAGGCGGCGTCTTTGTTTGCTCCCAGGGGCAAGCGAGAGTGGAAGGGAGCATCTTCCGGGACTTGACCTATGCCGTGCGATGCATACAAAACAGTAAGGTGCCGTACAAGACGAGGAGCAAAATCTGGCATGCCTGGGTTAAGTCGGCGGTAGCGTTCGGTCGGTTTGGGATTTCCTTTTATAGGCAAACATTTTATAACCACCTTGAGCTTCACGCATCTTAATAGTTGGGGATGTCGGTCTCCTAATTTATGTCGCGATTTGGAATAATTGATGCCTGCCATTCCTCCCTAAGGAGATGAGAGCGTTGTGTGATGGAAACAGTAGAACACCGCAGAATACAGTCATACCTCGGGTTGAATATGCTTCGAGTTGAGCGTGTTCGAGTTGCGCTCCGCGGCAACCCGGAAGTAACTGAGCGCGTTACTTCCAGGTTTCGCAGCTTGCGCATACGCAAACGCTCAAAATGACGTCGCATGCATGCGCAGAAGCAACGAAAACGACACGCGCGTGTTCAGACGTGCCGTCGCTAGTTACGTTTACCTCTAGATTCGAACGGGGCTCCGGAATGGATCCCGTTCGCATCTAGTGGTACCACTGTATAAGAAAAATGGTAGAAAGCAGTAAAGCAGCAGCAGCTCAAGTAAGCTAAGATTAAATAAAGGACCGATTAAATAGGAAAGTTTTCACCCAAACAGAGGCAGCAAAGAGGCCAAGAAGAAGAGTTTGGATTTGATATCCCACTTTATCACTACCCTAAGGAGTGATAAGCCAAATGGAGGTTGAATTGTAGAGTTGGAAGGGACCACAAGAAGCGTCTAGTCCAAGCCCCTGTTACGCAGGAATCTTTCATCCAACTGGAGCAACTCAGTCAGTTGGGCAGGGTACAGATAATAAAATTATTATTATTATTATTATTATTATTATTATTATTATTACAACGTGGGAATCGAACCCACAACCCTGAGATGAAGGTTCTCATTCTCTACCGACTGAGCTATCCCTCATCATACTTTAAAACAAGTAGGCCAGTAATTCTGCCATCTGTATAAATTATACAGATTAAGATAATTCACATGAGTATTTATTATTTTTCTCAGCTGAATTCTTCAACACTATTTTTGCTCATTTTTTTGGTATACTTCTACTAGTTATGGAAGGGACATGGGTGGCGCTGTGGGTTGAACCACAGAGCCTAGGACTTGCCGATCAGAAGGTTGGCAGTTCGAATCCCCGCGACAGGGTAAGCTCCCGTTGCTCAGTCCCTGCTCCTGCCCACTTAGCAGTTCGAAAGCATGTCAAAGTGCAAGTAGGTAAATAGGTACCACTCCAGCGGGAAGGTAAACGGCATTTCCGTGCGCTGCTCTGGTTCGCCAGAAGCTGCTTAGTCATGCTGCCACATGTCCCGGAAGCTGTACGCCGGCTCCCTCGGCGAATAAAGCGAGATGAGAACCACAACCCCAGAGTAAAGGTAAAGGGACCCCTGACCATTAGGTCCAGTCGTGACCGACTCGGGGGTTGCGGCGCTCATCTCGCTCTATGGGCCGAGGGAGCTGGCGTTTGTCCGCAGACAGCTTCCGGGTCATATGGCCAGCATGACTAAGCCGCTTCTGGTGAACCAGAGCAGCGTACGGAAACGCCGTTTACCTTCCCGCCAGAGTGGTTCCTATTTATCTACTTGCACTTGATGTGCTTTTGAACTGCTAGGTTGGCAGGAGCTGGGACTGAGCAAAGGGAGCTCACCCCGTCACAGGGATTCGAACCGCCGACCTTCTGATTGGCAAGTCCTAGGCTCTATGGTTTAACCCACAGCGCCACCTGTGTCCTGCTCCTTGCTTAGCAACCTTTAAAAAGGAAGCCTTTTGTGTAGGGAGCTGCTGAGATTTTAGGATCCTAATTATTCAGTCAGTGGCCAGGATATTGGCAGCTCCTGGGTACAGAAAAAAGAAACTGGGACACATTAATTGCTTATGCTGCACCCTTCATCCATGAATGCTTTGCTGCAGGGCTGGCTGGCCGACCTTTTTTGGGGACTGAGGGCCACATTTTGACCTTTGCCAAGCATCTGAGGGCCACAGAGGATGTGGCCACCCACACACTTGCACACACATTTTTCCATGCGCGCGCGCGCACACACACACACACACACACACACACACACACACACATAGCACTCCTTCCTCGTTTAATTGTGGAGGAGGGGGTTGTTGACCCATCCCCAATCTGATGACTGGTGAGGGGGCCATTGCAACCCTGTTAGGGCGCTGGGCTGTGCAGGCACCCAGCTCCCCCCCCCTTCTTTCTGCCGCTTCCAAAACAGTAGAACTCTTTCCTTGGAATCCATTCCCCCAGGAGGAAAGGGGCTGGGGGTCTGCCGCTTTTTACAACAAAGGTGTTGAGTCGTACCTTGACGGCTGACAAATTTATGGTAGCATAAGTTTTTGTGGACCACAGGCCTCTTCATCAAATGCATGAATTGTTATCCTTGGTTGCAGATATACCCGTGGGTTGTGCTTTCATCTTGGGGTGTGCGTGGGTTGTGCTTTCATCTTGGGGTGCGCGTGTTACAAGCAGTGAATTCAGAGGGAAACAAATTCGGGAAATATAGTGATGGTTGCATCATTAATACCAGCAATTCTCAAATCAGTAGTAGATGATGCAGTGATCCTGGCACCAGTCAGCCAACTAATACATGCAACGTGGTGAAAACCTGTTGTCCTGATTCAGTCCAGAACTGATGGCATTGAATTTCTTGATGAATTCAGGGGTTCCATATCACAGTCTCCCTTGGAAGATTGCTTCTTCATCTATTAAGGATAGCACTTCATGCATCTCAGCTGGTCAGAGCGTGGTGGTGCTAACGCCAAGGTTGCAGGTTCGATCCCTGTATAGGGAAGCTGCATATTCCTGCATTGGACTCCCTCAGGGTCCTTCCCAATTCTACAACACCATGATTCTGTCTGATGCCATGTGATGTACAGTGGTACCTCGGGTTAAGTACTTAATTCATTCTGGAGGTCCTTTCTTAACCTGAAACTGTACTTAACCTGAAGCACCACTTTAGCTAATGGGGCCTCTCACTGCCGCCGCACCGCCAGAGCATGATTTCTGTTCTGATCCTGAAGCAAAGTTCTTAACCTGAAGCACTATTTCTAGGTTAGCGGAGTCTGTAACCTGAAGCGTCTGTAACCCAAGGTACCACTGTAGTCAACAGTACAGTGGTACCTCGGGTTACATACGCTTTAGGTTACAGTCTCCGCTAACCCAGAAATATTACCTTGGGTTAAGAACTTTGCTTCAGGATAAGAACAAAAATCACACGGCAGCAGCGGGAGGCCCCATTAGCTAAAGTGGTGCTTCAGGTTGAGAAAAGTTTCAGGTTAAGAACAGACATCCACAACAAATTAAGTTCTTAATCCGAGGTACCACTTTAGTTTATACCAGCGCTAGCCAGTGTGATGTTCTAGCTCTTTTGGGCTACAGTACCCATCAGCCTAAGCCAGCATAGTTGATGGTCGGGGATGATGGGAGTTGCAGTCTGCAACATTGGCTGCTTCCAGCTTATGCCATAACGGGTTTGTAAGCCTTAAGGTATCACAGGAGTCTTTGTTGATGTTGCTGTACCAGCCTCAACATGATGCCTCTTCTGGGAACATGGAAATGGAGGGATGGTCTCCGCAGATTGTGGAGGACGGCGTAAGCATTCTCTGTCTCTCCCCTGGATTTGCTCCTTTGCAATAACAGCATCGAGAAGTGCAGAAGTCAAACCGGGAGATGTCATTTGTCAGTCCAGGACTTCTGCGCTCTGCGCGTTCGGCTTAGCTGATGAGTGAAACATTAAGTGGGGGTTTGTGTGCCGTTCGTTACGCAGCTATTGTTCCCGGGTGAAACGCTGTGCAATTACACCTGCATTTTTCTGAGCAGCGTTCAGCCTGCCGTTCCAAGCCAGCAATTTGCTGCTCATTTGTTTCACAGAGGAGGAAGGGAGGAGAGGGAAGTTTGTTTTCTTGGCTTTTAAGAACAGAACTTTGAACAGAAGCAGAGGCTTTTTTCTTAAAGGAATGTGTACTTTATAAGATGGAATCCCATTTGTTTTGATTCCTAGTCCACTACATTCCCAAAACCTAGAAGGGCACTGAGAAACGACTCTGTATCTCATTAATTCTCATTACACTGTGAAGTGCAGTTTAAGTTGCAGGAGTGAAGTTACAGGGAACCAGGCAGAGGGCCTTCTCGGCAGTGGCACCTTCCCATCAGATGTCAAGGAGATTTAAGTAACTATATAACTTTTAGGAGACATCTGAAGGCAGCCCTGTATCGGGAAGTTTTGTTTGACGTTTTATTATGTTTATACGTGCATTGGAGGGACGCGGGTGGCGCTGTGGGTTGAACCACAGAGCCTAGGACTTGCCGATCAGAAGGTTGGCAGTTCGAATCCCCGCGACGGGGTGAGCTCCCGTTGCTCAGTCCCTGCTCCTGCCAACCTAGCAGTTCAAAAGCATGTCAAAGTGCAAGTACATCAAAGTGCAAGTAGATAAATAGGTACCACTCCAGCGGGAAGATAAACAGCGTTTCCGTGCGCTGCTCTGGTTTGCCAGAAGCGGCTCAGTCATGCTGGCCACATGACCCGGAAGCTGTACGCCGGCTCCCTCGGCCAGTAAAGCGAGATGAGCGCCACAATCCCAGAGTCATTCGCTGCTGGACTTAACGGTCAGGGGTCCCTTTACCTTTACCTTTATAGCACATACTGCTTTCTTGATCTGCATAAAGGGCCAGATTCAACTAACCCGTTCCACTAGTGCAGGGCAGTCCAACTTTTCATACCAAGTGGGTCGCAAGGAGTACTTAGACATGGAAGCTGTGGGTCTCACACTGCCTCATCGGGTGGGGGAGCAAGGCGAAAATATGAGCCCCCTGACCCCATCCCTCTTGATGTGTCTCCAAAGCTGGAGACACCGGGTTTGGAGAAGGAGGTGTAAGGCTCTGGCAGGGTCCTTCCAAATCTGGGAAAGCTCTAACTAGGCTTTGGGAAGGAGGAGGGAGAACTCTAGGACCCTGCCAGAGCCCTCATGCCTCCTTCCCAAAGCCCAGTGCCTCCCTTAGTCAGCTTTGGGATGGCAGCATGAGAGTTGAAGGACTGTTTTTGGGGGACAGGAGGCGGGCAGGTGTGGAGGATTCCCTGGTCCTGAATGGGGTAACTGTGCCCCTGAAGGACCAGGTGCGCAGCCTGGGAGTCATTTTGGACTCACACCGGTCTTGAAAGACCTACACTGGCTCCCAGTACGTTTCCGAGCACAATTGAAAGTGTTGGTGCTGACCTTTAAAGCCCTAAGCGGCCTCGGTCCAGTATACCTGAAGGAGCGTCTCCACCTCCATCGTTCTGCCCGGACACTGAGGTCCAACGCTGAGGGCCTTTTGGCTGTTCCCTCACTGCAAGAAGCCAAGTTACAGGGAACCAGGCAGAGGGCCTTCTCGGTAGTGGCACCCACCCTGTGGAACGCCCTCCCGTCAGATGTCAAAGAGAAAAATAACTACTGTACCAAACTTTTAGAAGACATCTGAAGACAGCACTGTTTTTAATGTTTAATAGGTTATTGTATTTTAGTGTTTTGTTGGAAGCCGCCCAGAGTGGCTGGGGGGACCCAGCCAGATGGATGGGCGGGGTATAAATAAATAAATTATTATTATTATTATTATTATTATTATTATTATTATTATTATTATTTTGACGAGAGCTGCTTGTTGGATCGCCCTGCTCTAGTGGAAGCCGGTGTAAGGATGCCCATTAGGGATTTCCTTCCCCTCCCAAATTTGGCACGAACCCCCAAAAACTGCACAGATGGAGGAGAGGGGAGATCATTCAGTCAGCGGGAATGCTTGTGTTGATGTACCGATCGCATCAGTGCGATGTGGAATTCCACCCAAAGTCTCCGTTCAACCATACAGGACATACGTCACGATATACCTAACAAAAATGTTGGTATTTACATATTTAGGACGTACGATTACATGGAGAGTGGCTCGCGAATCGGTAGCTAGATTACCGGCTTCCTGGCTCTCACCAAACAGTTGTTGCCGGCCAGTAACCTGTGTGGCGTTGCTTACGAGGCTGACCTTGGCATCCGTCTCCTCCACCCCTGGCCCGGCTGAATGATTCCGTAAGTCCCCGAGGTGGATCCGTCCCGGTCAGAAATTAAGAGAGCTGTAAACACCTGTCATCCTATTAACTGTTATGGGGATAACCACAGTATTTTCTGCTAATGCGTCGGAGAGCCGAGCTTAGTATTCTAATCGGAGCTTGACCTCCATGCCAGGTCAATGGTGAGTGACTAATAAGGAGAGGAGCACAGCCATCTCTCTCCCCCCCCCCCGGCTCCAGCATTTTAATTAACGGATTGGGGGGCGAGCCACCTTTTCAAATGAGCAAATAAAGGCGGCGTAATTTAATTATAATCTTTGATACGCGGCGCTTACCAAGGCGAGGATATTGCAATTTGTAGATTTATTCCTTTACGCTTGTCAGACATGGGTTTAAAGGTTTATTCGACTGGAATGGAATTAGGCAGCGCGGTACGCATGAATATCTAAACCACTTACATGCGCAAATAAAACAATGGCGGGATTGAAAGCGTCTCCTCACTTTTCACTTTCGCCAGCCTGCGTAGATTATGCTCCAGGGGTGTGTGTGCGTGTGTGCGCTTTCGGTCTCCTCTTGCTCTGTAAACCAGGAACTTCAAAACTGTGTGTGGTGGGACTGCTGGCATACTGTGAGTTCAAAGTGTCCCCGCACTGAGGAGGCAGCCTGCCGCTTCTCTGCATGATTTACTGCTCTCGTCTTGCTTCCTTCTTCACAGCTTTCGTTCTGTCGTTCTTAATGCACATAAGGTATTCACCTGGGAGGAGCGCACCACCTGTATGTTTTCTACTCAGTCACTGTTCTGAAAACAGTGATGCGGAGCGGAAAATTTTCTGGAATATTTCCCAGTGCTTTGTCCTTCCACAGAGAACATTCCACTTCCTAAGTTCATATGTAAGAATGAATGGGTGTCAGCTTTTAATAAATATTGGCGAGCTTGGCAGTTTCAGCGTTTTCCTAAGCTTTCTTTACTAAATGCAAGTTCAGTGGTACCTCAGTTTAAGTACTTAATTCGTTCCGGAGGTCCGTTCTTAACCTGAAACTGTTCTTAACCTGAAGCACCTCTTTAGCTAATGGGGCCTCCTGCTGCCGCCGTGCCGCCGGAGCATGATTTCTGTTCTCATCCTGAAGCAAAGTTCTTAACCTGAGGTACTATTTCTGGGTTAGTGGAGTCTGTAACCTGAAGCGTATGTAACCTGAAGCATATGTAACCCGAGGTACCACTGTAAAACAAATGGGCTTAATTTAGATCCCTCTCTAGGGCAGTGGTAGCCAACATTGTGCCCTGTGGCTGTCATTGGATTCCATCTCCGATCATCCCTAACCAAGAATGGTAATTGATCAGTGATGATGGGATCTGTAGTCCAACAACATCTGAATGGCACCACATTGGCCATCCCTGCTCTGGGGCATCGGAACAATTTCTGAATCAAATTATTCCATGCAAATTACTCTAACCTGCATAAGACTTTCTAAACAGTGCATTATCAGCAAGGTTGAACAACAACAAAAACACCCACCCTTTTCAGAGTCTTCGGAGTAAGACCATCAAGTTTTGTCCAAAGCACATGATTTCTCCCAGAGTCCTTTCCCCGAGAACACCTCTCCATAACTATCTGGGATATTTTTCCAACTCAACTTTTCCTCCCTGCGAGAAGTGAAGCTACAGGGAACCAAGCACAGGGCCTTCTTGGTAGCGGCACCCGCCCTGTGGAACGCCCTCCCATCAGATGTCAAGGAAATAAACAACTATCTGACTTTTAGAAGACATCTGAAGGCGGCCCTGTTTAGGGAAGTTTTTAATGTTTGGTGTTTTACCGCTTTATTATTAATAATAATCTGCTGGGAGCCACCCAGAGTGGCTGGGGAAACCCAGCCAGATGGGTGGAGTATAAATAATTAATTAATAATTAATTAATTAATTAATTAATTAATTATTAAGAGCATGGAATGGGTTCCTCCAAAGGCAGGCAGTTCTGTAGTCTCTGTATTGAGTATTGAGAGTAACTGGATTTTTCAGCATACAGCAACCTGCCCCCTCTGTGTCTCTGCATGAGTCATTGCTCTGAGTTTTCTCCTTTCTGATCATGCCTCTTGATTGGGCACTGACTCGTGAGGCAGAGAAATCGGCGTAGGTTTTCTTGAGGGCAAGTATGGAGCAATCCCGTTGCTTCCAATGAACAATTACTTGCCACTGGAAGAGCCCACCCGCTTTGTCTCTGTATGGGTTACTGCTTTGGAATTGCCTCCTAGTCAAGAAGCGTGCCAGCGCAGTGAAGACTCATGCAGAGACACAACGAGGTGGGCCTCCCAGGAGAAGGTAACTCTCCATACTGTAAAAGGCAACTTGTTTCTGGATACAGATAGGTAGCCGTGTTGGTCTGCCATAGTCAAAACAAAAAAATATTCCTTCCAGTAGCACCTTAAAGACCAACTAAGTTAGTTCTTGGTATAAGCTTTCGTGTGCATGCACACTTCTTCACAAGAAGTATCTGAAGAAGTGTGCATGCGCACGAAAGCTCATACCAAGAACTAACTTAGTTGGTCTTTAAGGTGCTACTGGAAGGAATATTTTTTTGTTTCTGGATGCGAGAGTGAAGCGTGCTTCCATTTTAATTCAGAAAATTACGCACCTCAGCTGCAAGAAGTCCGGGAAATAATTACCGTCTTTTTCACTCCATAGGACGCACCTTTTCCCTCTTAAAAACTAAGGGGGAAAGTCTGTGCGTCCTAGGGAGCGAATGCAGGGGGGAGGCAGGCAGGAAAAGCTTCGCATGGCTCTTGCGGGCTTTTCCCCAGGAGGGAGAAGGGACTGACGCGGCAAGTCAGTCCCTTCTCCCTCCTCGTAGAAAAGCCCGCAGGAGCCGCGCGCTCCTTAAAAGGTGTGCGGCTCCTGTGGGCTTTTGCGGGAGGTGGGGGAATTGCCATTTTAATTCAGCCTCTCCGGCAGGGAGAGGTTGCGCAAGGCTAAAGAGGAAGCCAAGGCAGTGAGAGTTGGATCGCGCTCGCTGCCTTGCCTTCTTTAACCACGCTTCTTTAGCTGCGCTGGAGAGGTTTAGCTCCCGGCTGGAGAGGTTGCGCGGCTGTAGCAGAAGCCAAGGCAGCTAGTGGGATGGATCCCGCTCGCTGTCTTGGCTTCTTTGCTCTTTGGGGCTGGGGGGGGGGGAACCCGGGCTTCCCGGGCTTCTCCCGAGAAGCTCTGGGAGAAGCGGACAGGCTTTTTCTTGATTTCCCCCTCTAAAAACTAGGTGCGTCTTGTGGTCCGGTGCGTCCTATAGAGCGAAAAATACGGTATGCGGGCACAGTAAAACAGGGAGCGGATGAGCTGGGGTGCTGTCCCTCATTTCCCCTCAAGGCACAAGTGGCAGGGATGGCTGGATAGCGTCGAAGGAGAATAGGGACTTCCCTAAGGCCATCAAAGCAATTTTGAGGCAGAGACAAGATTCAAATTAGGGACTTCTTGTGTCACAGCTCAAGTCTCGACCCTGTTTTGTTTGACCATCTCAGCCTGCCAAACACTGATGTCTGTTCACTCGTAGAAAGCTCCTCCTCCGCCTTTATCTAGAAATGCATTTGCCTTTTCTTTCCTTTAGATCGTCATGCTGAAGAATGACATTCACCACTGCAAGACCTCCGGGATATTTCTGCGCCTCGGGGCTGGGGGCTTGATTGCAGAAAACAACATCCATTCCAACTGCGAAGCCGGCGTGGACATTCGGAAGGGAGCCAACCCTCTGATCCTGGTATTGACCTTTGCATGCTCGGGTTTTTACCCAAAGAGCTTGATGCAACAAACTTGGGATTTGCCTAACACAAATGTTTGGTGAATGTGGGCATTCGTAAGAGAGTAGCAGCAGGCGGGAGGCAGGTGCTTACCCCTCTCCCTGCAAGTCTCCCTCCCCAGGGCACTTTTCCTCCTAGCGGTAGTCTTAAGCTGGAAAAAGGGCCTGGCTGGGAAGGAAAGGAGCCTGGGTCAGAGGTTGCATAGAGGGGTGTAAAGCCAAGCAGTCACACCCGTAAACACTTCTCCCCAGTTTATGCCTCCCCAAATTCACATTATGCTCCAGCCAGAGCTGGGAATCCCATGTTTGCTGCATAATGTGACAGCTGCTTCTGATCTAAGGCAGCGGTTCTCAAACTGTGGGTCCCCAGATGTTGTTGGACTACAACTCCCATCATCCCTGAGCTCTGGCCTTGCTAGCTAGGCGTGATGGGAGTTGTAGTTCAACAACATCTGGGGACCCACAGGTTGAGAAAGGCTGATTTACGGCTACTTGTTTTATCCTCAAATTCTTCCTATGTTTGCATGAAAAACCTGTAGCTCTCAGCTACTCCCTTCCAGTAAGTTTTAGGTTATCCCCATGCCATGCTAAAGATGTTGGAACTCCGTAATGATCAAGCAGCTTTCATTGCCGTGCAAGAGCCCAAACAAGTTATTAATTAGTTATTAGTTATTAATTAGTTGTTATTAGTTATTAATTAGTTATTATTGGGATGTGGGTGGCGCCGTGGGTTAAACCACAGAGCCTAGGACTTGCCAATCAGAAGGTCGGCGGTTTGAATCCCCGCGACGGGGTGAGCTCTCGTTGCTCGGTCCCTGCTCCTGCCAACCTAGCAGTTCGAAAGCAGAAAGTGCAAGTAGATAAATAGGTACCGCTCTGGCGGGAAGGTAAACAGCATTTCCGTGCGCTGCTCTGGTTCACCAGAAGCGGCTTAGTCATGCTGGCCACATGCCCTGGAAGCTGTATGTCAGCTCCCTCAGCCAATAAAGCAAGATGAGCGCTGCAACCCCAGAGTCGGTCACGACTGGACCTAATGGTCAGGGGTCCCTTCACCTTTAATTAGTTATTATTAGGGAAGTTTTTAATGTTTGAGGTTTCATCATGTTTTAAATATTCTGTTGGAATCCACCCAGTGTGGCTAGGGAAACCCAGCCAGATAGGCGGGGTATAAAGAATAAATTATTATTATTATTATTTGGGTTGTGTTCTGTCCCCACTACTGTGGAGCCTTTCCTTGTGTTGTGCAAGAGGGAGGCGCCATTAGTGAGAGGCTCTGTCCTTGCACAATGCAAGCAGGTGTGGACCTAGGTTTGCTGATGGACAGCAGCCTTCCTTTAAGGAGGAGCAAGCAATTCTAAATTGAATCAGCTGCCCAAGAGAAGGGCTGGAGGGACTGGAGACACTTCCCATTTCTTCTGACCTGTCGGGGCAAGGAGGTTTCTTTGCCTGATGTGCTTCATTCCCATGCATTCTTTCCTCGCCCTTCTTTGGGTAGAAAACAGAGCGGACCATAATAATAATAATAATAATAATAATAATAATAATAATAATAATAATTTATTTGTACCCCGCCCATCTGGCTGGGTTTCCCCAGCCACTCTGGGCGGCTTCCATAAAAACCAAAGATACAGTAAAATATCACAGATTAAAAACTTCCCTGAACAGGGCTGCCTTCAGATGTCTTCTGAATGTCAGGTAGTTGTTTATCGCTTTGACATCTGATGGGAGGGCGTTCCACAGGGCGGGCGCCACTACCAAGAAGGCCCTCTGCCTGGTTCCCTGTAACTTGGCCTCTCGGAGTGAGGGAACCGCCAGAAGGCCCTCGGAACTGGACCTCAGCGTCCGGGCAGAATGATAGGGGAGGAGACGCTCCTTCAGGTGTACTGGACCGAGGCCGTTTAGGGCTTTAAAGGTCAGCACCAACACTTTGAATTGTGCTCGGAAACGTACTGGGAGCCAATGTAGGTCTTTCAAGACCGGTGTTATATGGTCTCGGCGGCCGCTCCCAGTCACCAGTCTAGCTGCCACATTTTGGATTAGTTGTAGTTTCCGGGTCACCTTCAAAGGTAGCCCCATGTAGAGCGTATTGCAGTAGTCCAAGCGGGAGATAACCAGAGCATGCACCACTCTGGCGAGACAGTCTGAAGGCAGATAGGGTCTCAGGCTATGACCAAACCTTTTCCTGTCCATTGTGGTCCTGATTCCTCACAATACAGTGGCATGGGATGATAGGTTGGTGACGCTTAATGGCTCCTTCCGATGTGTGCCTGTATTTATAAAAAGCATTTATCCCATCCTCAGTCAAACTGTTCTCAGGACAGTGTCAAAGAACCCATTTAAAGCAATACCGTAATTCCACCAGGAAAACAGAAAGCTGGCAAAAGAACAAATAATCTTAGAACACTGAGTAGCTGATTTCTGTTATTACATAGCAGAGTGGTAATTCATAAATGCCTGAGAAAATTGCTGTGTCTTAACCTGGTTTCCAAATTGAGCTGATATTGGTGCTAGGGAGGCCTCAGAGGGGAGGGTGTTCTGAAATTGGGTGTCCCCAGAGGAAACACCTCTGAATAAATGGGGCACGTGTAGAAAATTGAGGAGACCCAGCAAGACGGTCTCCGACTTGTGTTTGGAATTTTAGCTGGCTAACTCAGCCCCAAAATCGGATCTAGATATGTAACATTGGCCTGTGGATGCCATTATTCTCTCTGCCCACAGGAGCTAGGGTTGCTAACTGACCAGGAAAAGAAGAAGAAATCCTGCTTGGCCAACTCCTGTGCCTTTTTAACAGCAGTTTAATCTGCAGAAATCAGTAGGTGAGGCTTTTTACACAGCAAGAAACTAAAGCATCACCACTTGCTAATGACTGCATATTAAAAGCCACAGCTGAGACACAACTGAGAAGCTGCTAAGAGCTGGTTGATCCAATAAGCCTTTACCCTCTCCTTTATTCCAGTCCAGCAAAATTGGGAATTGGTGGACGAGATTATGTATTTATCTGAGTAACGGGGCCAAGGTAGAATGGGAGCCCTTTTGATTTCCATATCGAATGGCTGCTATGGAGGCAGAAGGCTTAGTCGCAGCCAAAATGCCAGGCCTTCTCCAAGGAGACACAAAATTGGGCTCTTCCTCTCGAAAACAAACCACTTCCAGCTTTGAAAGAGCTGGGCGCTTTTGTCCGGAGGCTTGCTGACCTTTCTGCTATTGTACTGAGTCCTTGACTTTTCTGTGGCTGATCTCTCTCTCCTGCTTTCTATTTTTCATTCCTCTTGTGCTTGTGCATAAATCAAATGGCAGTGTAATAGGATCCACGGCGGCCTTCGCTCCGGCATCGTTGTCCTTGGCAACGGGAAAGGCATCATCCGTAGCAATCAAATATATGGAAATAAAGAGGCTGGCATTTACATCCTGTATAACGGCAACCCTCTGGTGAGGTAGGTTATTCAACAGCAGCATTTCTTGCCATTTTTTTGGATGTCGGTTTGAAACAATACACCCACACATCTTCCATGCAGCTAAAGAGCAGGAAAGTTTATTATTATTATTAAGAACATTAACAGGGAGATGAAGTCTTTAGGCCAATGTACCTGTGCGGGTGGCGCTGTGGGTTAAACCACAGAGCCTAGGGCTTGCCGATCAGAAGGTCGGCGGTTCGAATCCCCGCGATGGGGTGAGCTCCCGTTGCTCGGTCCCTGCTCCTGCCAACCTAGCAGTTCAAAAGCACGTCAAAGTGCAAGTAGATAAATAGGTACCTCTCCGGCGGGAAGGTAAACGGCGTTTCTGTGCGCTGCTCTGGTTTGCCAGAAGTGGCTTAGTCATTCTGGCCACATGACCCGGAAGCTGTACTCCGGCTCGCTCGGCCTATAAAGTGAGATGAGCACTGCAACCCCAGAGTCAGCCACGACTGGACCAAATGGTCAGAGGTCCCTTTACCTTTACCTGTGTCTTTGCTTTGACAAAGGTCAGCACCAACACTTTGAATTGTGCTCAGAAACGTACTGGGAGTCAATGTAGGTCTTTCAAGACCGGTGTTATGTGGTCTCGGCGGCCGCTCCCAGTCACCAGTCTAACTGCTGCATTCTGGATTAGTTGTAGTTTCCGAGTCACCTTCAAAGGTAGCCCCACAGAGTGGGAAAAATTGCTCGCCATTCTACATCAGCAACCTTAGAGTTGCCCAGAACACACAGTATGAAAGCCACTTCCCTACAAAGCAGTGGCCCCCTCCCTGGGGAGCACTCTGCCGTCAGATCTCAAGGAAATAAACAACTATCTGGCTTTTAGGAGACATCTGAAGGCAGCCCTGTTTAGGGAAGCTTTTAATGTTTGATGTCTTGCTATGTTTTAATTTGTTGGAAGCCACCCAGAGTGGCCGGGGTAACCCAGTCTAATGGGCAGCATATAAAAAATGGTTGTTCTTCCCAGAATGGCGGCTTTCCCTCACCCAGTCCTGCAGCAGCAGATCATGGTTCATGCAAGGGCAGTTGTCCATCCCAGTGGGACATGGCCTGAGGGTGTGTTGTGAAGGGATGGGGAATCTGTGGCTCTTCAGGCATTGCTAGCTTCCAAGTCGTGGCAGTTTCAGACCACCTTGCCAACGCAGAAAGGGTTGATGGGAGCCATACTCTGACAATAGCTGAATGGCCCCAGTGTTCTCCATCCCTAGCACAGGACTACTTTGGGTAGGCAGTCGATAGAGCCAGTGTGGCGAAATGGCTAGAGTTCGAATAAACCAGAGTTTGAATCCCAACTTGGCCGTGAAGTTCAGTTCATCACCCTCCGGGTTGTGGAGTTTTCAAACTTGGGAGTCTGTAGGGCATGCAAATCGGCTCCTGATTTATTGGCGGTTCTTGTTTTGAGATGAACGTCGGAGCTGTGCTGCGAATGCAACATCAGGCGCTTCTTGCAGGAAAACAACAGCCCCACAACGCTCTTCCGAAACACAAAGTAACCTAGACAGGCTTAAGCATCCGTTTGGGAACGGCTTGTTCCGGCATAATAGCCCGACTGACAAGTGTGAAACAGATTTTATTAATCTGCAAACCATAAGGGTCACGACTGGGCTGAAACAGACCTGTCAAATAAGTAGCAATTTCTAAATAGGCAGCTGTCTTGTCTGGTGATTATGATGCAGCGAATGAAGTCTAGAGGAAATGAACATAAAAGAAGAAGGGAGCTCAGAGCGGAGACGTAATTTCTCTTCCTAGACAACGCTGTCAGCAGCATGCTCATCAAAACAAAAAACCCTGCAAGTCTATTATAATTGAGATCAGTTTGTCCCTGCTAAAACAAGAGGCATTTGACTTGATCTTGCCTAGTGTTTTTGTTGCGGGAGATGAGGCTTGTTATTCTTAAGAAGATATTATTGCTACGCTAATTATTCCCAAGCAGCCCTGAATGTATTTCAAACAGAAGTCTCACTTGGGTCTTTGGACCAATCGGAAAGCTTGTTTCTCCAGCGTTTTTTCTTAAAAGCCACAATCCCAAAGGCATCCAGAGAGTGGCTCCAGGAGATTCTCTTTAGGTTGACTGAGATCTCACCACACTGTTATTCCCCCACAAAGATCATTTTCAGGTAATGGATGGGGACAGGGTGGAGATAAGCACTGCTCGTTCTCCTTGATCTCATCAGCTTTCAATACTGTTTTTTTTAAAATAATAATACAAAATTAATTGAAGTAAGCAAATCAGTACTATAAAAAGCTCCCAGAATATTCAAGGGCTCAAGTGTCATAATGAATGCGTCATGTTAAGGACACTCAGCTACCATACTCTTTGCTGGTAACTTTTGAAACTTCTGTCTTCAGTCTGACAACAGCAAAGTTTAAGATAATGACTTTTTGAATTCAGATATAGTCACTTATTGGCATCTGGTGACAATCAAAATCATTTTTGAGTACCACTAAAATAAAACTTCTGTAATATTGTCTCCTATGGAAGTGTTGTCAGGCATTTGTTGAGATGGGTAAACTCTATAGTAAAATCTACTATAAAAATAATAGTACAAATGCAAAAAATGAAACGATATATTCTGGGAACTGCCCTGAGATGTTATGATGGGCAAAATATAAATTTAATTAATTAATTATCCAAAAAAGACATAAGCCAAGTACTTTGGACTATTAGGAAAGCCAAATTTCACAGAGGGAGTTCTTTGTGTTTGCACTTGTGTAGAAGATAAAATCACCCCTATTTTCTCATCTTGTGCTGTTCTACAGATAAGCAAACTGTACAAAACACTGACAGTGTCTCCACCCCTTTTCATTCCAGTGGGAACCACATCTTCCAAGGCCTTGCTGCGGGCATCGCTGTGAACGAGAACGGAAGAGGCCAAATAACAGGTGTGGGGGGGAAAGCATTTCTGGGGCATGGGTTTGGGTTGGGCAAAAAATAACCTCCAAACAGTGAATCCTCATTTCAGTTTTGGCAGGGTTTTTGGCACACACACACCCACTACACTCCTGGGCAGGAAGGTCCCTAGCTCAGTGGCTGAATAAGTAAGACTGAGAATGAATTTCTGAAGAATGGAGCTGCTGGCAGTCAGTGTAGACAATACTGAGTTTGATAAGGCTGATTCTGTATTGGGCAGCTTCCTCCACTTCTGTGCTTCAAATTTCATGCGACAAGGTCTTGGTGGTCCTTTCCCATAACCCTCTAAGGTAGGTCAGTGTGCACATCCCCATCTTACAAAAGAGAGACTCTGGCTGCTTGCCTAAAGCCACTTTTTGACTTCATGGCCGAAGTGCTGTTTGATCCATGGGCTTCCTAGCTCATAGGAGAGTCACCTCAGAACTGCTGCAGCTTTGAACAACAAAAGTCTGGTGACCACTTCATGGTTATTTCTCTTGTCCGTTTGGCACCACCTGCCTCTCAGAACTTCCCTTTTTGAGCACGGCCAGAGCATTTCCTTAGTGCAGAGCTTTCCAGACTTTTCACGTTGGTGACACACTTTTTGGACGTGCATCATTTCACGACACAGCAGTTCAGTTTTGCATCATTTCACGACACAGCAGTTCAGTTTTGCATCATTTCACGACACAGTAGTTCAGTTTTACTAGCAAGCCGGAGGTTAAATGAACCCTTTCCAGCCCCAGGAGGAGTGCAGGGAACATTTGTGTGACACGCCTACTCACTGCAGCCAACACACTAATGTGTTGCGGCACACAATTTGGAAAGCTTTCCCTTAGTGGTCTGTCACTGCGGTTCCCAGTCTGTCATAGTAGCCAAGGATCTGCGCTGGAAAGAGAACACTCTCCTCCTTTCTCCTGTTCCCCCTTCTTCTCATAACAAAACAAAACAAAAGGTAAAGGACCCCTGGACGGTAAAGTCCAGTCAAAGTTGACTATGGGGTTGTGGTGTTCTTCTTGCTTTCCGGCCGAGGGAGCCGGCGTTTGTCCACAGACAGCTTTTTGGGGTCATGTGGCCAGCATGACTAAACTGCTTCTGGCACAACAGAGCACCGTGGCGGAAGCCAGAGTGCACGGAAATGCCATTTACCTTCCCGCTACAGTGGTAGCTATTTATCTACTTTCACTGGTATGCTTTTGGACTGCTAAGTTGGCAGGAGCTGGGGCAGAGCAACGGGAGCTCACCCCATCACGGGGATTCGAACCGCCGACCTTCTGATGGGCGATCCCAAGAGTCTCAGTGGTTTAGACCACAGCGCCATCCTCGTCCTTCATAACAAACACAATAATAACCTTTCATAACAACAAGCATTTGGCTAGCTACAAGCTGGATGATGACACAGCCTTGGGCTGCCTCAGGTTGATACAGAAGTCGAGGTAGAAACTGGCTTGACGTGAAATAGTCTTTTCACGTCATTCCTTCAGTGCTCCTTTGGATAATTGGCAGTTCTCTGTTTACCCTTCCTTTCTTAAACTGCTTTAGAAAACGTCATCCGGGAGAACCAGTGGGGAGGTACAGACATCCGCCGTGGAGGAGACCCTGTCCTCAGAAGTAACCTGATCTGCTGTGGCTATTCAGACGGCGTGGTGGTCGGGGAGCGTGGGAAAGGACTCATAGAAGGAAACACCATTTATGGTAAACCTCTGCTGACAGTGGGGTTATTACCCCCTCCGTATCCTTGTTTCCCTGGGACTTGTGTGCTGAGTGTAGCAGAGCAGCTCTCCATAGACTGTTCTAGAATCCAGTTTCAAAATGGAGGATGGCCTGTCAGGGACTGGCTGGACTCAGAAGAATGGTAGGAGGCACCAGCTAGGGAACATCCAAGGGAAAAGGGCTCAGAGCCCAGGGTTTGGGGGCTGGACAACAATGAGTCAGAGGGAGAAGATGGGGAAGAGGAGGTGTTGGAAGCTAAAGAGGAAACAAGGCTTTGTGAGCTTGGGAGAGGCTGTGGTAGAGGGAAGTCCGGAATCGGAGGCAGAAGCTGGAGAGGAGGGAGGCCAAGAAGCAGAGATGAGTCTGGCTGGTGAAGAGTCACAGGTGTCTTCCCCTCCTGCTGCAACTGGCTCTCGTCTCCCAGAACCAGTAGAGGCATGAAAAGGGCGGAGGAGAGGTTGGCTGCATACAGACGCAGTCTCCAATTGCTTGGGGAAAGCCTTGGAGAAGAGGGACTTGGATGTCTGTGGGAAGGCAGGGACTTTCTGTTTCAGCAACTGATTTTCATGGAGGAAGACCACCAGGAATGAGCTCAGCCCAGTCTGTGGAGATTGTGCCTCTCACCATTCCTCAGCCTCCAACCAGTTCAGGACACCTAGGACCCAGTTAGCTCCCGGCCCAAGCTTCTTCAGTCTCTTGCACAATGTTACATCAGGAAGACAGGCCAATGTGCTTTCCCCCTCTTCTCTTGGCATAGGGAACAAGGGCTGCGGCGTCTGGATAATGTCCTCCAGCCTCCCGCACATAGCAAACAACCAAATCGGTCACAACAGCATCTATGGGATTGCGGTGTTTTGCCGCAAAGATGATGCTAATGACTACCTCGCCAACCAAGGGGGCAATGAGAACTTCAATGACGAGGGAGAAGCTGCCAACTGGGAGAATGACCTGGAGAGTGAGGATGAGCGCGTGGTTATCCGGAGGCCAATCAGCGTGGCTCTCGTGGAGTCAAACAACATCAACCACAACGGAGGTGAGTGCTGGCCGGGAACATTGTGTAGCCAACCTTGTCCATGGGAAAGGCCAAAGAGGCACCAAAGAAGCTTCTGAGAATTCCTCCTGGGAATAATAATAATAATAATAATAATAATAATAATAATAATAATAATTTATTAATTATGCCTCTCCCATCTGGCCGGGTCTCCCTAGCCACTCTTGGCCTCAACAGAATATTCAAAACACGATAAAACATCAAACATTAAACACTTCAGATGTCTTCTAAAAGTCAGATAGTTGTTTATTTCCTTGACATCTGACAGGAGAGTGTTCCACAGGGTGGGTGCCACTACCGAGAAGGCCCTCTGCCTGGTTCCCTGTAGCTTCACTTCTCGCAGTGAGGGAACTGCCAGAAGGCCCTCGGAGTTGGACCTCAGTGTCTGGGTTGAACGATGGGAGTGGAGACGTTCCTTCAGGTATACTGGGAAGCTCCTGCAGAAACGCTACGCTTGCCCCACCACTGGTTTCGGTGACTTACGATGCCGCAATCCACCACGTGGCACCAATCACCGTGCCACTTGCAACCTGGAGCAAAGTGACGCTGAGCCGCCATGCCAAACACTATAAAGTGATGCCGGAACTCAGCAAAGATGTGCCAGAGCTCAGTTCCGGTGAGTTCTGGCTGAAAAAGGCCCCGCCAGTTGGCATAATAAAATATCACACCTTCCTTAAAATCATGATCTTAGCCAGATAGCTGGGGTCTGTTTAACTGCGGGCAGTTTTTTGTTTTTAATGCAGATACAGTGGTACCTCGGTTTAAGCACCTAATTCGTTCCGGAGGTCCATACTTAACCTGAAACTGTTCTTAACCTGAAGCACTACTTTAGCTAATGGGGCCTCCTGCTGCCGCCGCGCCTCCAGAGCACAATTTCTGTTCTCATCCTGAAGCAAAGTTCTTAACCTAAAACACTATTTCTGGGTTAGCGGAGTCTGTAACCTGAAGCGTATATAACCCGAGGTACTACTGTATTAACATTGCAGCATCTTAATCGTTTGACTTCAGCGTAGGTGCATTTCCGGGTTTCTGTCCCTTCTTGCCCCAGGTTTTTGTCGTCATGGTGGTGGTTGTTTTGGTTAAGATAGGTTATTGATTCCGGGGTGCTTTTCCTCCTCTCGTAGCTGCTGGCTTGTACATCAAGAGCAGCGAAGCTCTGAACATCATCGGAAACGCCATCCACGCCAACCACGACTGCGGGGTCTCCGTCTTCCAAAGCTCTCAGCTGACGAGAATCGCAAACAACAGCATCTCTTGCAATAGCCTGGGGGGAGTCGTGGTGGAAGCAGAGTGCCGGGTGGAGCTTCGTGGGAACGGCATTTACGACAACAGCAGCCACGGGGTGGCCTCCAAGGGCGAGGGAATCGTCACCGAGAATGACATTTTGGGCAATCAGGGCTGTGGCCTCAAGCTGCTGCAGGCAGCCGATATGAAGGTGCGTGGCGAAATAAGAGAGAACAAGCTTGCTTGTTACCTGGGAATTGTGGAGATGGAAGGGACCCCCAGTGATCATCCACTCTAGCCCCCTGCAATGCAGGAATTGCAGCTGACGAATCCCTGGGCGGGTGGCCTTCCATAGAATTACAGAGCTGGAAGGGACCCAAGAGTCATCTAAATAGTCATAAATAATCATTATGATGATTTGTGGTTATTTAGATGACTCATTATGATTATTTATATTTCACCAGCCCTCCAAGAAGGGTTGCATGCACAAGTTAACCTCATTTTTTCCTTCCAGCAGTGATATTTATATGTGTGAAAGCTGCCCCAGGTTCTTTGGCCATTTAAAAAACATAGTTCTCTTTTTTTCTCCTAGAAAAGACTGCGCAATATTTTCTGTTTAGAGTTTAAACATAACACGCTACTTTAATTGGAATACTAAAACATATTTTGTGTGTGTGTGTGTACACACAAATACGTTTTAGTATTCCAAATAAAGTAGCCACTTTATATATAAAGGGAGGCAGGTGGCACTGTGGGTCTAAACTACCGTATTTTTCGGACTATTGGACGCACCGGTCCATAGGACGCACCTAGATTTGGGGGGGGGGAAATAAAGGCAAAAAAAAAATTATTCCCCCCCCGCCAGGCGCGGGGCTGGGGCGGGGAAGCCCGAGCTTCCCCCTCCCCCAGAACGGGACCCAGAGCCATGCCGAAGCTGCGGGGCTGGGGGAGGAGGAAGCCTTCCGCCAGCCTCCAAACCATGTCGAGTTTGCGGGGCTGGGCCAGCCTTCTAACCAAGTCGGGGGACAGCGGGAAGGGCGCGCTGCGCCCCTGCCGCTGTCTCCCGAGTTTGCGGGGCTGGCGACGGGGAGGAGCAGGCTTCTCCCCCCGCCAGCCTTCTAGACAAGTCGGGGGACAGCGGCAAAGGCGCGCTGCGCCTCTCCCGCTGTCCCCCGAGTTTGCGGGGCTGGCGACGGGGAGGAGCAGGCTTCTCCCCCCGCCAGCCTTCTAGCCAAGTCGGGGGACAGCGGGAAGGGCGCGCTGCGCCTCTCCCGCTGTCCCCCGAGCTTGTGGGGCTGGCGGTGGGGCTCTCCTGAAGCCTGGAGGTTGTGGGGCTGGGGGGGGGAGAAGCAGGCTTGCTTCTCCCACCCCCAGCCTCCAGATCAGGTCGGGGAATAGCGGGATGGCGGAGCGCCGCCATCCCGCTATTTCCCGACCTGATCTGGAGGTTGTGGGGCTGGGGGGGGGGGAGAAGCTAGCAGGCTTGCTTCTCCAGCCCCCAGCCTCCAGTTCAGGTCGGGGAATAGCGGGATGGCGGAGCGCCGCCATCCCGCTATTCCACGACCTGATCTGGAGGTTGTGGGGCTGGGGGGGGGAGAAGCAGGCTTGCTTCTCCCACCCCCAGCCTCCAGATCAGGTCGGGGAATAGCGGGATGGCGGAGCGCCGCCATCCCGCTATTCCCCGACCTGATCTGGAGGTTGTGGGGATGGTGGGGGGGAGAAGCAGGCTTGCTTCTCCCACCCCCAGCCTCCAGATCAGGTCGGGGAATAGCGGGATGGCGGAGCGCTGCCATCCCGCTGTTCCCCGACCTGATCTGGAGGTTGTGGGGATGGTGGGGGGGGGAGAAGCAGGCTTGCTTCTCCCACCCCCAGCCTCCAGATCAGGTCGGGGAATAGCGGGATGGCGGCGCTTCGCCATCCCCCTATCCCCCGAGCTTGTGGGGCTGGGGGGGGAGAAGCAGGCTTGCTTCTCCCCCGCCAGCCTCCAGATCAGGTCGGGGAATAGCGGGGTGGTGGCTCTGCGCCTCCCCGCTGTCCCCAGCTTTTGGGTGCAGGCTGCTGCCCGCAAGCCTTGCGAGCCCGCGGGACATCCCGCCGGGCTTGCAAGACTTGGGATAGCTTCCTGAAGCCTGGAGAGCGAGAGGGGTTGGTGCGCACGGACCCCTCTCGCTCTCCAGGCTTCAGCAAAAGCCTGCATTCGCACCATAGGACGCACACACATTTCCCCTTCATTTTTGGAGGGGAAAAAGTGCGTCCTATAGTGCGAAAAATACGGTATGAACCTCTTGGTCTTGCCGATCAGAATGTCGGCAGTTCGAATTCCCACGACGGGGTGAGCTCCCATTGGTCTGTCTCAGCTCCTGCCAACCTAGCAGTTCAAAAGCACACCAGTGCAAGTAGATAAATAGGTACCTCTGCGGCAGGAAGGCAAACAGTGTTTCCGTGCGCTCTGGTTTCCGTCAGGTGTTCTCTTGTGCCAGAAGGCATTTAGTCATGCTGGCCACATGATCCGGAAATCTGTCTGTGGACAAATGCCAGCTCCCTTGGTCTGAAAGCGAGATGAGCGCCACAACCCCATAGTAGCCTTTGACTGGACTTAACCATCCAGGTGTCCTTTACCTTACCCATCTCTCTCTCTCTCTCTCTCTCTCTCTCTCTCTCTCTCTCTCACACACACACACACACACACACACACACACACACTGGTACCTTGGTTCTCAAACTTAATCCATTCTGGAAGTTTGTTCCAAAATCAAAGCGTTCTTAAACCAAGGCGCTCTTCCCCTTAGAAAGTAATGCAAAATGGATTAATCCCTTTGCGACTTTTAAAAACAACCCCGATAATAATCAATGTAAAGGTAAAGGGACCCCTGACCATTAGGTCCAGTCGTGACCGACTCAGGGGTTGCGGCGCTCATCTCGCTTTATTGGCTGAGGGAGCCGGCGTACAGCTTCCGGGTCATGTGGCCAGCATGACTAAGCCGCTTCTGGTGAACCAGAGCAGCGCATGGAAACGCCGTTTACCTTCCCGCCGGAGCGGTACCTATTTATTTACTTGCACTTTGACGTGCTTTTGAACTGCTAGGTTGGCAGGAGCAGGGACTGAGCAACAGGAGCTCACCCTGCTGCAGGGATTCGAACCGCCAACCTTCTGATCGGCAAGTCCTAGGCTCTGTGGTTTAACCCACAGCGCCACCCGCGTCCCTAAAAATCAATGTACTGTACTATCAAATAAATAAGACAGTATTGTAGATACTTGGTTCCAGGAGCACATTTGGAGAGCTAAGAAACTTCTATGAACACCGCACAATACCTATTTCAAAGGAAGGAAGAAAAACGCGATGCTCAGAACCACCACCACCCCGCCCCCAAAAGGAATCGAAACACCTACACACACGTTCCCAAAGAAATAAAACAGACAAACGAGCTGCAACCAAACAACAACAAAATTCCAAAAAAAAATCCCACATCACTCAATTAAAAAAAACAATTGCAAAAATGGGGAGGGGTGCAAAGTGCCCGCACACCTCTATATTGATAAGTGAGCACGTTTTAATAGGAAGCCTAAGGGTTGTTTGTTGCCTCTGCCTCTGTTTTCTCATTTGCGTTCTGGCAAGAATCCATTGCCTACCCCAAGAGAAGTAGAAGAGCAAGTAAACAGGTTGGAACAGTCCTCAGAGAAGCAGCGGGGAAAGCTGCTGCTGTGGAGAGAAAGATCATGTTGAATGTGGTCCCAGAAATGACAGGTGTGAAGGAGGCAAAAGAAATAAACAAATGGGAGAAGATGAGGATCTACAGATCCATTCACTGACACCAAGAACCGTTAACACCCCAGCAAACGTGCAAGTTCTGCAGTAGATATTTTTTAAAGGAAATTGTGTCTTAATTTGTGTACCAGCCTCCAGGAAATGCTCCCATTTCTTTCTCAGTTCTTGTCAATTTCAGTATCGCCGTATAGTGGAATTTGAGTGTGTGTTGCACCACCGGCGGCTGGTAATTTTACACAGTTTCCCACAGAACTGCTGTTGGCCTTTCCAATTCCCTCTTGGACACGGGCACAACCAGAATTTTTGTTGTGGGGGGGTGGGGGAACAGGACACCCACCTGACCTCATCTTCTGTCTGGCTCAGATTTGGAATGAAATGTCTCAACAACAGTTGTTTTAAATTACTTTCTTTTGAACCCCAAGTGCTCCGAAAAATCTGTCAAAATCTTCAGTCATTTGTAAAGTTGGAAGTTTAAAAAAAGACAAACACCATCAGGGAATATCTTTCCTGCCGTTACTGAGTATGTTTTGCCAAATTACAAAGAACATACTTTTTTTCCATCTTATTGGGGAAAAACACAACTAAATTAAAACAGGTTTTCTTGGATTTGCTGAAAACCTTTCAGCACTTCCTTCTCGAATAGCTCCTTTTTTTCCAATGCAGTTTTTTCTGTGCACTCTCAGTAAGCAGAGCCCATTGAGACCCTCCCCTGTCACAGTCTTTACCCTCCGAAAGGTACTAAATGACTGCTCTGTGGTACAAGAGGTGCATGGGTGAGCAAGAGAGATGGTAGGGTAAAAGATTTCTGCCTCTTTTACTAGGTCTGCTATGTTCAGCTCTTTTAACTGCTCTTTGCTGAGCTTCTCCTTCGGAGTTGAAGTCTTGCAATTTCGGGTTGCCGGTTGCGTCGCAACATCATCTAAGTAACCCCAACACAGAGAAATATTCTGGTTATTTCTACTTTTAGTTAAGTAGTTTTATTTATTTAATCTTAGACAACCTTGTAGGATGCGAGTGGCGCTGTGGGTTAAACCACAGAGCCTAGGACTTGCCGATCAGAAGGTCGGCGGTTCGAATCCCCGTGACGGGGTGAGCTCCCGTTGTTCGGTCCCTGCTCCTGCCAACCTAGCGGTTCGAAAGCACGTCAAAGTGCAAGTAGATCAATAGGTACCGCTCCGGCGGGAAGGTAAATGGTGTTTCCGTGCGCTGCTCTGGTTCGCCAGAAGCGGCTTAGTCATGCTGGCCACATGACCTCGAAGCTGCATGCCGGCTCCCTCGGCCAGTAAAGCGAGATGAGCGTTGCAACCCCAGAGTCGGCCACAACTGGACCCAATGGTCAGGGGTCCCTTTACCTTTAGACAACCTTATCAACTGCCTCCCCCAGTTGACTACTTACCAGGGCCTTGGTTTTGTGATGGAGTCATAGCATTTTAGGTGTAACGTGGTGCTAGGGCGTTCTAGAGCTGCATTTGCACAATACATGCAAAGTACCATAATACCTCTTCTAGTTCTTCTTCTTCCTCTTCTACAAATTTATTTATTTGGTTTCTCAAGTTAAAATTTTACAGAGATATATCAAATAATAGAAACAAGATTCCTAGCAATCTCCTGGACTTCCATCCTCCCCTTTATGGGTCCTGTTATTAATCCTTCCGTCCCGCATCTTTTATGTTAATCCAAACCCTTTGCCTCTTCCATTATGTCCAGAATTCAACCTTAAACTACAAGTGATATTCCAGTCCTAACTATTTTAACTGTTTGCAATGGTCTTTAAGATAAGTTATAAATTTTCCCATTCCTTATTAAAATTTTGGTCTTCCTGATTTCTAACTCTTTCGATCATTTTAGCCCTTTCAGCATAGTCCATTAACTTCATCTGCCATTCTTCTCTGGTTGGGACTTTATCTTCTTACCATCTCTGGGCCAGTAACATCCGTGCAGCCGTGGTTGCATACATAAATAGTCTTTTCTTCTCCTTTGGGATTTCGGCACCTAGAATTCCTAAAAGGAAGGCTTCAGGTTTTTTAAACAAAGGTTGTTTTAAACATTTTTTTCAACTCATAATATATCATTTCCCAAAATCCTTTTACTACCTTACAATTCCACCACATATGATAAAAGGTGCCTTCTTTTTCATTACATTTCCAGCATACATTTGAGCCTGTTTTATGCAATTTTGCTAATTTACTAGGAGTTAAATACCATCGGTACATCATTTTCATATAATTTTTGTTCAACATATAACATGAATTTTAAATCCCAATTCCATAACTTCCCCCAAGCACCATAATACCACTTTAAGCAGACATGGCTTCTACAGCAGAATCCTGGGAACTTTTGTTAAGGGTGCCAGTGGTAAGGAGACCCTTATTCCTCAGAGCGACATAACCGTCAGTTCCTCTTCGCAGGGAACAATCTTCCTTTAGACCAGGCATAGGCAAACTTGGCCCTTCAGATGTTTTGGGACTACAACTCCCATCATCCCTAGCTAACAGGACCAGTGGTCAGGGATGATGGGAATTGTAGTCTCGAAACATCTGGAGGGCTGAGTTTGCCTATGCCTGCTTTAGACTTTTTCTCTCTTGAAGTTCAACTGGCACCAAATTTCCATGGTGTTCAGAAGCTCACAGGTCTCTATCAAGCTGTCTTGGGTTCTTCTTTTTCAAATCACCAGTGTGCTGGTCCCGGGGGAGGTTACCGTGGGGCGAGGTCCAGGACCCGTCGAGGGTCGGCAGACAGTCCTCCACGGGCGAAGCGGGGTCCACAGGGAGGAGCCGGGCAAGGACAGGAACACTGGAGGAACAGGACTGGATGCTGGCCGAAACAGCTCTTCAATGACGATGTTGCTCCCGCAACCTGGGACCGGGCTGACTGGCCTTTATCTTCTCTGAGGCCAGGGGCGGTCCCGGCCCCCAGGAGCCCCGCCTCTCCTGGCCTTAAGGCGAGCACTCCTCCTGGGAGTTCCCTTCGCCTCTCTGCCCTAAGCCTCTGCAGTTCAGGAGAGGCTGAAGGGTTACTGGGCCCAGGGGGAGACTCACCTGTAGGCACTGAGTTCTCAACCACCTCTGGAGCCAGAATGGATTCACCTGGTGCCTGCTCCTGAGGATTCGGCACAGGTGCAGGCTCCTCAGAATCAAGGCCCTGCCCCAGTTCAGCCGGCCCTGGAGGCGGGGACTCCTGTGCAGGCTGGGATTCCTCCGGTTCACTCTCTTAATCGGATTCCCAGGCCATCACACCCAGCTTCTGGAAAACCAACTCGCCCTTTCTCTTCCAGAATGATGAATCATCTAATTTTGCTAATGGAGTGCTATGTTACCAATAATTGTGTTCTCCTCTTTTCCTTCCAGGTAACCAAGAACAGAATCCACTCCTTTCGAGGTTATGCGATTGAGATGCTTGACCAGACCAAGGCCTTGGTGCAAGACAATGTGATTTTCCAAGGGAAGTCCAAAAAGAGCATTTTGCAGCAGGCCTCCGACACGGAAGCCTGTGTCGTTCAAAGCAACAAGCTCCTGGCGTTCAAGAAAAGGTAAACCAAGTAGCCCTTTCGGGACTTGACAATATGAGGACCCTTATTCCATACAGCTGATGCTCTCTACATTAAGCATACCGTATTTTTCCGTGTGTAAGGCGGCGTCGATTCAGACTAGGTATCTGACGAATGCATTGTTATGTCTTCCTGTCCTTCCAGGTCGGACGTTGCCTGGACCCTGGAGAACCCTCCGGCGCGGCCTCACATCGAAGGAGCCTCCCGAGGCGTATCAACATCTGGGAATAGTCAGAAAGTCTCAAACATGACCGCCAGGATAGCAGCAAGAGTGGATGGGGGTTGCCATAACAACGGGAGCATCTTTTGTACAATTGTGTGATCCTGGCCTTCCTCAGGGGCCACCCTGGAAAGTCCCTTCCCCATGCATGCTCGTTGCAGGAGTGAACGAGCTCACGTTCAGTTGCTTTTCAGTGCAGCGGCTACAGTACGATGGGAATGGAAATGATTTCCTGATTTTGTTCCCTGGCATGGTTGCTCCCTCACCTGTACCCTTACCTCAGGCCTCAGCTGCTGCTGCCTCCTCCTCTTCCTCGCAGTCCTCTTCAGCTGTAGTCTTGTTTGTGAAGGGGAAAGCAGTGCCTTTGTGCCATCAGCAGCAGCCACCAGGCCAATTCTCACTCATGTCTGACTCCTCATTGCCTTTTCCATTAGTGACACTGGCTGCTCAAAATTTGCTCTGGGATTCACCTAGTGGATGATGTCACAAAGGCTGCTGATGTCACAAAGCTGGGGAAACCAATACTTTCCCCTACGTACAGCTTTTAAGGAGTGGGGAGAAGTTACAGGGTGCTTTGGTGGGCTCCCTTCTAGGTGCAAGATTGAGAGCTTCCCAAAAAGTCTGTTACTTCCCCATAGTTTTCAGTCGGTACTCCTCCTACCCGTAAAAACAAAATGGTGGTGAGTAGGTAATAAATTGAAATGGGAGTGACAGCATCATGGAATAATTTATCTCTTCTGATAAATAAAGGTAAAGGGACCCCTGACCATTAGGTCCAGTCGTGACCGACTCTGGGGTTGCGGCGCTCCTCTCGCTTTATTGGCCGAGGGAGCCGGCGTACAGCTTCCGGGTCATGTGGCCAGCACAACTAAGCCGCTTCTGGCAAACCAGAGCAGCACACGGAAACGCTGTTTACCTTCCCACCACAGTGGTACCTATTTATCTACTTGCACTGGTGTACTTTCGAACTGTTAGGTCGGCAGGAGCAGGGACCAAGCAACGGGAGCTCACCCTGTCGCGGGGATTCAAACCGCCGACCTTCTGATCGGCAAGCTCTAGGCTCTGTGGTTTAACCCACAGCGCCACCCACCTTCCCTTTCCTTTCCCCCTTCCCTCTTACCTACCTACACACACCCTTTTAGTGATTGCCAAAAAGCCAGCTGGTCAAGTTGCCACAGTAATGTTGACTATTCAGCCACGGAGCTGGTCTTTTTGATAAGACAGTGAAGCCTTGCTCAGAATGAATCTCCCTTTCCTCCATTGAATGTTAGTTTTGTTTTCTTCTGTGCTGGGAAGTCCTTGGACCACGGCAAAATAGGCCTATAAAGCAGACAGAATTGGAATATGCCGACTCTTCAAGAAGGCAAACAGATCACTGTTTCTATGCGGTTTTGCTGCGTGAAGTTTCAGAAGATGAACACAGCATCTCTTGTACACTGCAAGAAGAAAAAAACTGTAACTTACTCTTGACTAGCAATGTCAAAATAACATGGTGTTGGTTTTTAAAATAATGTACAAAAACGACCGACAGAATTGACTCCCAGGCAGCTGGCAACCATTTTCATACCAGGGCAGCTCAGAACTTGAAATGATTTTATGCAAGAATGGCAAAGCTGCACGTTGTGCCTTTGAAAATTATCTGCAAGAGAAAATGGACCTGTACAATTTATGGGGGAAAGGTATTCATGGAACTCCTTGGCCTAAATAATGAGTTAGTTGAGTTGCTTCTTATTAGACACACACAAAGCAGAAGCTGGATAGTGGTGAATAAATGGGGAGAAATATTTTGCTGCGCTCTTTTAATGAGACTCAGGGGGGCATGTTAGCCGTTCCTCTGGTCAAAGAGGGACTAGGATTAACCCCCTTTTATCTTGTAAGACTCCTCAGTCTTTCAACAGGTACACGGCAGGCAGACATGCAACAGGTGAAGCCCTCCCTATTACTTTCTGCATGTCAGGATCTGCAAACAGGGTTTTTGCTTGTTTGCTTTAGTGAAACTGTTAAAAGCACCAAAACTGGGGGGGATTGGTGGGGGTTGCCCAACATTAGGACACAATTCAGATGCTCCGGAGTTGATGGAAGGAAACTGTACAAGAACTGAAAAGCCACATTAAGCGGGTTAGAGGTGATAATTTTTTTTGTGCGTTCAGAAATGGCAAACAAAGTAGGAATTGAATTTTTTTGCTTATATTATCCCTTACCCAGCGGTGGCTCCCTGTGACTTGCCTATAGCATATGCACCCAGAGAAGGTTCTTTCTCTATATGTATATAGTTGAATTCTAACCCCTTGGGTTTCTCTGCGAAGTTGCCAACTTCTTTTCCATTTTAATGACCTTCACTCTTGTGCCTTTAGCAGCACTTTGGCCTGCAGCAGGAGTGACCACCAGAGTTTTAGGCAGTAGATTGACTAGTTCTGCATTAACTTTGCGTGTGCAAGCAAAAACTCGTCTGAAAGAAGAATGCATACTGTGGGACTTGCTGGACTACAACTCCCATGATCCCGGACCATGCTTGTTGGGGGCTGATGGGAGTCCAACAAGACCTGAAGTTCTGTTGGTTCCTCCTCCCTGCCTTACCTCTTGAAGAGAGCTTGAGGCCCCCCTTTTATTGATACAAGAGTTGGATGGGCTGTGCGCTCAGAGAGCAAAGATGGTAGCATTAGTTTTTAGTTGGCAACACATTACCAGTGACACGCATGAACAAGGACCAAATTGCCTTTTGTTTATATCTCATCAATGTGCAAGTTGGACTGGCTTATTCTAATGGCACGACATGGAGCAGTTCTCTTGAGCGAAAACACTAGCAGTCCTACATCTAAGGCAAGTCAAAACTCTGCGTAGCCAACCGGCCACGACAATAAATAGCTCTGACCTTGCATGGAGCAAAAGAAACTGCCTTATTCCAGGTCAGACTATGTCCTCAAGCCCAAGGTTGTCTACTCCAGGGCTGGCTAACCTGTCGCCCTCCAGGTGATATCTTGGATGTCGACTTCATCAAAACAAAAACAAAGCAAAATTTTTAAAAATGAATTAAAACATGTGTACATAAACAACACATGTGTCATGAGGGAATCTTCTTGGATGCAATGTAGAAACTGTTGTAGAAATTCCTTGCAGGATGTGGCTGCCATCCCCTCTCTACTTACTCCAGGGGAAGTACCACTGAAATGAGTAGCATATATTTTGGAATAAAAATGCACTAGACCAGCCCATGTCAGCCATAGAAGCAAACCAAGCTACAAATTATAAATAGGGCCTCCGATGCAGATCAAGATAGTTTGTAATGGACCCATTGAAACTAAATGAATCATCATTGCTTTAATATTTAGGCTATAATCCTATAACCGCTTCTCCAGGTGTAAGCCCCCCCCCCCAATTCAATGGGTTTTACTTTTGAGTAGACACAGGGAGGCTTGCCACGACTAACCTTGGCTGGATCAGGGCCACAGAGATCCCCTTTAAAAGCAACTGGATTTCAATCACAGGCGGCCACTAACCTTTCTAAGAACTTTGTAAGGCTTTTAACTTTATGTTGGATTATGTGTTACAAATTCCTTTTTTAAAAACAGAAGTTAAACATTCTATGTAAAGTTTTATGAAGGAAAACCTGTATATTGCAAGAATAAAAGGCTCTATTTTAAACACCAAACCCTTCTTAATTAACCGGCTTGTTAGATACATGTTATGCAGATGGCCAGTTGCAAAAGGACAGCATGGCTCCTATGTCAGCGGCAAGCATGTGGGTCCAGCTGTGGGAGGGAAGAGGTGCTCTGGGATCTGCTCAGCTACAGCAGGCCAGATCTGGACAGGCTTACAGTACTGATTCCTGGCTGCCATTTCTTTCCATACCTACAAAGTAGCGGGGATGCTTCAGTGAAACGAGAATTTTTGGTGGCATCAGCATTCAAACTCAGTGGGTCTTGTTTGGAGGAGAGATCAGTGGTGGACTACTAGATAGCATGTCTCATGGATTGGTTGGATGCAGAGGAATGGTGGGAGAACCAGCTGGGGAACCCCCAAGCGAAGAAGGCTCAGAGCTTGGGGAGTGATGGTGGGACAACGATGCATGGGCAGAGGGAGAAGATGGGGAAGAGGTGGTGTCAGAAGCTGGAGAGGCAACAGGGCTTAGTGAGCGGGGAGACTCTGTGGCAGAGAGCAGCCCAGAATCAAGAGGCAGAAGCTGAAGCAGGAGAGCAGGGAGCCCAAGAGGCAGAGATGTCAGGCTGGGGAAGATTCACAGGTGACTCCCCTCCCTGGTCTCCCAGAACCAGAAGAGGCATGAAGAGGGCAGAGGAAAGGTTGGCTTCACATAGGTGCAGTCTCCGATTGCTTGGGAAAAGCCCTGGAGAGAAGGGGACTTAGGGTGGCTGTGGGGAGGTGTGGGCCTTCGGTCTTGGCAACTGATCCATGGGAACTGATCCACTGGGGATGAGCTGTTGGGCTCATTAGGCCTGATGCTCAGCCAAATCTGTGAAGATCGGGTTATTTTGCTAATAAAGGGTTAACTCCAACTTGAACAGTGTGATTTACTGCTGGCTCGCTCTTTGACAGGACGACTATGTTTTGCTTCCAATGTTATCAAGAGCAAATAAATACAAGTTGTTGGGGGACTTCCGGGTTAGCGCCATCGACTAATGGCGGATTCCCTCTGAGCTCCGCAGGGAATAGGCTCCGCAGGATCGGGTCTTGCCGCTGCGGCGACGCGGGGACCCTCAAAAATCACAGGCGGTGAAGCCTGTGAACCTGGTGACTCAGGCACCATTTGCGCCCCCCCGACCTGCGAAGGAGCCTTTTTAAAGGCTTCGGAACGGGACGGGGTGAGCGGCGCGGTGCTGAGAGTTGACTGCTTCTCCTGAAGGTGGGGAGGGTGCCACTGTGCTCAGGTTCTGTTTGTCGGCTTCCCACCTGTGAGAATGGCACACTAGACTAGATGAGCCTTGGGCCTGATCCTGCGGGGCTCTTCCAATCATATACAACAACAGGCACATGTATCTCCGTTTATGTGTGAAGAGGGTAGTAGATGTGTGTGCAGAGGGCCACCAAGACCACTTCTGATTACAGTGTGATGGCTGCTTCTACATCAAAAGCATGGTAGCCTGGTTTGTTGCAATTTGCCTCCCTGGAATAAAGGGCGGACACACAGAGGGCCTGAAACACGCTGTTCCATACGCTCCATTCAAAACAGTGGGAGGCGGGATACGAGGGAGAAAT